CCCCAAAACCCCAAAACCCCAAAACCCCAAAACCCCTACATTAAATTTTATTTTTGAACTAATTAATTTCTGAACGACACAGAATGGCATATACTAATGCATACCCACTCACGCTAGAAATGGGGTTCTGGACCAATTATTTTAGTCTTTTTCGACTGAGGGAAATCCGGTAGATGGATCAAGAGTGCCAAGTTTCTTACATTTGACACAATAAGCTTTGAAGCGATTTTCCGCCTCATTTTGTAGCTCTCTCAACTGACTCTTTGTTAAGTTGAAGTTGTACTCTTTACAGACTTGCTCAAGAATCCCAGGAGGAAGATTTATGGTTATTTCAGAAGGAAGGCTTTTCTTGTTGCCATATTGAATAACCAGTGTTTTCTATACCGGAATTAGCCAATAATAACGATCGATGAAAACTTACTGACAATTTCTCTCTATCAGTCTTATTTCCTGCACCATGCTTTAACTTCATATGAAGGTTAAGCGACCCCTCTGACCCATAGACTTTATTACAGTCTTGGTATGGACAATTTTGATTTTTCGTGATTTCCTTTGCTGTTCTCCTAATGTGCTTATTTTCTCCCAATATTTTCACCCAAACTTTCAGAATAATTTGAGGGCTCCTGAACAGGTCAGAAAATAAAAATTACCTTTAAATTATCAACATGGCTAGGAAAAATCTTTTGAGAATTCTCTAAATCCTGTAATTCTTGGAGCATTAATTGGTTAGAAGAATGTATTTCCCAAAACATCTTCTGGTAATCAATATCAGGGTCATATTCGGGTAACTCTGTGACTATAATCAAACACAACTTTAGCCAACGCCACTTTAAGGACTTACTGTTTATACTCTTTATAAGCTGATTTAAAGGAAGTAATTCTTCAGGAAGAGAGTTACTATCTTCTGTGAATTTAGATTCTTCATACTTGTGCTGTACGTGGGGCTTAAAGACTCTTTGGATGGAAGATTCCTTAACAAAATTACGAATATCCTCAAATTTATCCAGAAAATAATCGCTTCCCAGACTCTTCAAACCTTCGAGTTGCTTTGTTTCCCCATCAGGGCATCTACCGGTAGCATTAAAATCATATTTCTTGTTTTCTTTATCACTTGTATCGTCACTGGGCTGGCTGGTTGCTTGGCCACCCCTAAATATGCCAAATGTTGGCTTCATAATTTAATTGTTTTAGGACTTAGGCTTAGTTATTCAACAAAAACTTACTCTTACGGGGTTTTGGGGTTTTGGGGTTTTGGGGTTTTGGGGTTTTGGGGTTTTGGGG